AGTAGCTGGAACTACAGGCACGTGCTACCACGCCCGGCTCATTTTTTATTTATTGTAGAGATGAGGTCTCAGCAAGTTGCCCAGGCGGGTCTCGAACTCGCGTACAGCCCCAAATTTGTATCTCTAACCCTGACCTTTCTCTCAAACTCCAGAGGAGCATATCCAACTGCCTACTCAGTATCTCTGTTTGAATGCCCAATAGGTATTTCGCCATCTTAATGTGTCCCAAACTAAACTTCTCATCTGCCTCCCAGTTCTATTTCATTGGACTTCTGTATCCCAGTAAATGCCTGTTTCATTGTGCTAGTTGCTCAGGCTAGGCTTAAATCATCCTTTACTATTTATTCTCTTATACTCTATATCCAAGCCATTGGACAAATCTCTTAGTTCAACCTTCAAATATATCCAGAATCTGGTTTCTTCATATCTTCTGCACTGCTTCTACCCAGGTATAAGTCACAACCATTCTCATCGCAAGCACTACTATAGTCTCCTAAGTGGTTTCCATGCTTCCATCACTGATCCTAGCCACATGGTCTGTTCTTAACAAAGCAGCCAGAGTGAGCTTTTCAAAATGTCAGCTAGATAATTCTTCTGGTCAGAACTCTGCAGTTGCCTCACATTGTACTCAAAGTAAAAGCCAAATCCTTACACGTTCCTTGGCCCCTATTACTCCTGAGACCTTACTGACTCCTACTCTCCCCTCTCACTCTACTGCAGTCATGTGGATTCCTTGTTTTTAGAAGTGCCGTGCTTTTGTCTCATGGCTGTTTCGAGCCTCTGTCTAGAAATTCTTTCCTTGGATATCCAGGAGGCTGATTCCCTTAACCCCTTTAAATCATCACCAAATGTTATCTTCTCCATGGGGCTTACAGTGCTCACTTTCTTAGACTATTGTCCCCAGCTTTCAACCCCATTTTCCTGGCTCTAGGTTTTTTTTCCCCATAGTATTTTAAATTATCTATCAAATAATATAATTTACTCTATTTGTTATTTCTCCACCATCCTCATTAGAATGTAAATTGTAGAAGGGCAAGCATCTCTTTCTTTGTTTTTCACAAATATGTACCAAGCACATAGAATATTGTGGGGACTCAGTGAATATTTGTCAAATAAACAAGTGAATTAAAGCTATGATTTTGCTGTGAGAAATACTGGTTGCAGTTCATAAAATTTTATGTCCAGCATCCTCTTTGTACTTAGTTTCTAACTAGTTTTCTGGGATTTGTAATCTCTTTCTGATGAAGAGAGATGACTGGTTAGGGAACAGTCGTAGTTGCGTAGCCAACGAAAGGTGCCCGGGGAGCTATGCTCGCCTTACTTCCCAGGGTCCAAGGTGGAGACTGGCACAGCTGCCAAATACTTAGTTGAAAAAGGATATGTCTGAGTCAGGGAAGTGGTAGCATTATGAAGCAACTTCCCACCATTTTAAAGAAAGTCTATTAATGAAGTGGAGTGAGGGTGTGTGATGAGGTATATTTCTCCCTTTTCTTCAGTGTGTACTTTCCAGATTCTGGCAGTAGTTTGTGTTTTCGGAAGCCTCGGTTTTTGGAGGTGACATGAATATTCACTACTTTCTTAATCTTCAGGGTCACCTTAGTGAGAAATTGGGAGAAGCAGCCCCAGTAAGTTGAATCAGAAACCTGTTATTTTAAGATATAGGGTTCTTGGAAACCCCTGTCCAGAATGTTAGCCGACTTCTTTCTAAAAGCTTCTTCTTTCATTGGTCATTCAAATGATTTTTCTTAAACACAATGAGATCTATTTTAGATTCTTGACTCTTGTTCTCCTATTAAGCCCGGTTTATTAAATGTCATGAGAAACAGCCTGGAACTAGGTTTGTTTCCCTGCTGTAGAAATGGCAGTGCTGTAGACTATAATTGCCAAAAAAAAAAAAAAAAAAAGGGCTAGCTATGGAACTGCTGACATTGCCCTTTCAGAGAAGTTCCTTTTAGAGCTCTTTAACAATGGCATCAAACCTAAGAAAATATTAAATATTTTTTTATTTTGATATCACATCACGATAGATATGAAGAATTTTATATACTTAGGAAAAGTGCTTATTCCCGTACTATGAAAGCCCTATAAAAATGTAGACTTTTGTTGTGGCTTTGTGAATCCAGGAAAATGGGAATCTTTGGAGCGCTGCTACTTGTGTGCTTTTTCCAGAAATGATCTCAGATTGATTCCTTTTTATTCAGAGATCATACATAATATTTTTCTTATTCGGCCATACCATTTAAGAGGCAAGACCAAGTTACTTAAAGCCAATTCATGTTTTTATTAAAACATTATACTTTATGAGGCTGACTTTTTAGATGTCCTCATTCCTTTAACAGAAATACTTCAAGAAGAAGATATAGTGATGATGAATTTGCTACAGGCATTCCCTCTGAAGCAGTACTGGAACACCTCCCCACAGCCTCACCCATCTTGGCCAAATAAATGGCCAGGATATTTCTGGGAATGTTTGGCTGAAGGGAAATAAGCGATATATTTTAAAAGTTTGACTCAAGGATATAAAACATAAAATTGTCACTTTT